ACATTGCTGGTGTTCATTCAACACCTTAAATTCCTACAACAACTGATACTTAATAGCATTTTGAGCATGGTGTAGTCATACCAGATGTGTTCATGTGCTGTACAGAAGAGTGCTGATTTTATCTATTCCATGCTTAGACCTACTGGGGGAAAAATAAGGAGGAAGTGGAGGGTAGTGGCTGAATCCTGAAACACAAACTGCCTTAAGACTTAAATGAATTTTTGCTGTCCAACAGAATTAGAAATTTATTCAAGGTTTGCAGATATCTGCTCTGCAGAAGGACCCTTTGTGGATGATCACACATCCATTAAGATCTTGAATTTCTTGAATTCTTCATATTTGTTAAATCAGCAGACTTTATGACTTATGATTTTATGACTTACTTCAGGACTTATGAATGCATGTAAGTTTTGCCTCCTCTGAGACGAGACTGAACATCTATAAATAAGATGCAAATAAAATGCCTGTGATCACATATGATCATCATTTCTCAAGTGGTAAAAGATAATTAGGTAGGCAGCCAATATTTTAAGGTTTACTGAACCAATTCATACTATTCTCTTCCCACTAAATAAGAAAGAAAGAAAGAAAGAAAAAGAAAAAAAGGTAAAATCATGCTTGTTGTTTTACTCTAGTGGTTCTTTCTTCCTTTTTCTCTTTGCTGTTTTCCCCCTTTTTATTTATTATGCTCTTTCTAAGAACCATGGCAAAATCGAATTTATGGGTTGTGTTGACTAGAGAGTTCTACCGGGAAGCCTAGAATTCTCTGCTGATTACCCTGTGGTCTTTAAACCTGCATAGCTTAGAATCTATCCAGTGTTCACAGTAATAGATGGGTCTAATGCTCTGTGCAAGCTGTAGGCCAGTCATTTTTAACTTGAACATAATTATATGGAAAATAGAAGTGAGGGGAGGGTATGCTCCATTGTTATTGCTCAAGAGGCTTTGCTTCCCGGAAACCCATTTTGCCCAGTAATGCCAGGATGTTCTGTAATCATGCTGTTTCCTGTTAATTTCTTTATTTCTGCTATAGATCTTTATTTCCTGTGGTATTATTTTGTAGAACTAATCTTATTTAAATATGAAAGGTAGTGAGAAGTAATATATCTCAAAAAAAATCAATGTACTTATCACAAAATGTTTAATGAAGACATTTCTTCCTCATTATTGTACCCTTTCTACTTTATTTTTGAATGTTTTTTAATTGAAGACAATATTAGGTTATATTAACAGTGATGAGTCCTGGCAACACTGTTTATAGTTTAATCTGGTCCCTAGGCAGGCCACATTACATATCTGGATGTTGGTCTTAAAATTTGTAAATGGAAAAGGAATAGATCATCTGTAAATTCCTCTCAAAGTTACTGTGTTACTGTGTTTGTGTTCCATTTATAGAATTGTACTTAGAAAATAAATTAGTAATAGCACCTATGAAACTATGAAAATACATATGACTTTTAAGAGGATGATACGTCTCTACTCAAGAAGTAAAAAATCTCACTTCTTCTGGTAGCCATTGAATACAACCAAAAAATCAAAATAAAAATTTTATCTTCATAAAGCAACTTACATAATATAGCAGCATGTTTATAAAATGTCATATTTCACTTCCATAAGGCAGGCTATTTTACCACAGAGAACAAAATATAGTCCATACTTTAATGTAAAGAATATTAGGAAGAAAATTATCATTTGGAGACAAAGTTATGCAAATCTTGTCTAAATATATTACTAGGTTTTATTTTAAAATTTAAAATGCTGTGCAAAAAAAAAAGATATGATACAGTAGCACTTAGCAACTTTAACACACATCTTTCAGTTCATTAATTCAAGAAATATTTAAAGAATACTTACTTTGAGCCCAGAACTATATTAGATGCTGGGGATACCACAGTGAATAAAACTGGCAAAGCCTGGCCTTTATGGCGCTTCATTCTAGGGTGTGTGATCAGAATGTTGGGAGCAGGGTGAGGGGAGAGGTGGAAGGGTAGACAGGAAAAAAAAAAAAAGCCAATTTATAGTTTGTCAGAGAACATACATGGGATAGGGAGGGCATGAGGAAGAAGGGTTTGCCTTACCGATGAGACAGTATTTGGAGAGATACCTAATGAAAGTGAGGTGACAGAACTCTGTGGGGCAGAGAGAGCAAAACATGGAGACTAAAACCTGCTTGGCAGCCAGAGTGGAGCAAGTAAGGGGAGGCATGAGGAGATGCGCTCAGAAAGGAGCCCTTGAGAGGATGCGGAGTGGGGGGGGGGGGGGGGGGGGGGGGGGGGC